AACTGCCCTATGGAACGGACTCCCTAGAGAATGTTTCCTTGATCACTACAATCTTAAGCTGTCCAAATCTAGACTCAACAATTATCTTCCTCTCCTATCCATATAAATTTGCCCTCATCGTAACCCTCTACCTTGAGGGGCCCCCCGCCTTGTACAGAGTGAACCTTACTGTTAAAAAAAAAAAAAGCACAAACACAGTACAGTCTGACCGCTTTAATCTGGCACACTTGGGACCTGGCCACAGCTGGACCACAGAAAATGCCAGATAACAAAAATCCTAAAAAAAAAAAAAAACCTACTACAAAATCTAGTCTTGCCTGCTCATTTCATGTATATATATTGCTGTGTTATCAAAGGTTGAACAAAGCTGAAAACAGGAAATAAAACAATCGTTAATGCAAGGTTTTTATTGTTTTATTCAATACAATGGCTAAAAAAAACAAAAATTAAAACTAAAAGTAATATATATTACTGAATAAGTAAATCATATATAAGGAGTGAGCAAGACTGTATCACCAAAACACACTGCTGCCGTTGGCTGCTACACAAAGTTGTAAACAATGTGAGGTGATGCTCTTGTACATGCTAAATATACTAGTGGTTGACCATGGGAGTGGAGTGCCGGATCATAGATTTCCAGATTAAAGTTTTGAAGATTGTAGTAGACAGCAATGCAAGAAGCCGGAAGATTTCTATGGGCAAGAAGTATGAAAGAGAAAAAAAACAAAAAGACTATTAGAATAGCACTTATGTTTACATCTATCAATTTCAACATTAAAATGATGAGATCCAACTGTGCTTAAATTCATGAAGTTGACATAACAAAGAGGGAAGCTCATGTTGTGCTGTTTTTGTTTTGTTTTGTTTTTTTTCTTAACAATCCAACTTTTTGGAGATACAGAGCCCCAGATTTGATGCCCATGTTTCTTATGAAAAATTACAAAGTTTAAATGCACTCATCACTTGAGTTTTTTTTTTTTTTTTTTTTCTTCTTCTGTTCATTGTCTCCATTTACAGCAATTTCACTCATCTTATTTAATTATCTTGTTAGGGGTTTGTTATAGTCTTGTATAAAGACTGGTTGAGGGCAAATCAATAATTTTGCTTACTTGCCTGAATACAGTTTTTCCGAGTAGTGATATTGTAAAAACAGTAGTCAAAGATTGTAGGTGAAATTGTGGATGGGGGGATTATGGACCAAATTCTGACAAATATTTAATAAAAACCCATTCTCTTTTCATTCCTTGAAACTTATTACTTCTCTTTTAATGAAATGACTGTTTGTGACAGTTATTCTTTAGGCACTTCTAATGACATGGTCTCAGATGTGAATGCTCATCATCAGTTTTTCTAGTTCAACTTTCTTGATCCCTTTCATGTCACACACACACACGGCCCTCCACATCTTCCTGTCGCTTGTAGCTCTTAATGTTTTGTTAATATGTTTTGTCTTTTTGTTATTTCTCCCAAATCCTGTTCAGACATCCACTTGCTTGCTACCATCAAGTATGGTGTGCTGTTTTCCTCTGTCCTGTGAGTATCAGATTTTCCAAGCCCTCCTTCCTCATTACATGTCACAGAAATTTCAACTGCTTCTTCCTGATATTAAGTATAAGTTTCCTCTTTGTTTCCATTCTCTCCAAAACCTTGTTGTTGCTCACATGTTCAGCCTATGATATCCTCAGCATCTTTCTGTAGAACCATATTTCTTTTGCTTCAAGTCTCTTCATCTTTGAGGAGATTGTCCATCATTTGCTGCCATGCAGAAGGACAAATATCACACAACAGTTCAGTATTCTTTTCTTTGTTTCTAACAAAATTTTTCTGTCTCTTCATACCCTGCTTAGCTTTTGGAATGTATCTTTGGCAATCCCAATATGTGTTCGGATATCAGTGTCGCACTTTCGGTCCTATAACATGAATAAAATAGATCAACAGCTACATTTTCCTTATGTGCACAATATGCACCTAATCCAACAAAATTATCAAGGTTACTCTTATTATTATTATTCATAAAATGCAAAATATTTTATATTTTGTAGACTTACTACATGAAGGTCACAAGCTACCTACCCTGAGTAATTACTGACAGCATGTGCCTCATATATATATATATATATATATATATATATATATATATTAAAGCAAATATACAAATGTTATGTAGTCATGTTGTGAAAGAATAACAACGTCATCAAAGGAATCATATCAGTTGACGCCAATAGATTTGAAGGCGTTGGTCATATTCATGTTGATATATGTTATTAGAATGTTCTTCAATGATCATTTTGAGACATGCAACAGCAGATGCATTTATAGGGTTCTTTGTTTCTCTTCATCAACTCTGCAGAATTATTATAAAAGTATCATAGAACAGTTTTTTTTTTTTTTTTAAAATGACACTATAAATTAATTTATTAATTAAATTAAAATTTTACAATTTCTAAACATTAAAACGAAAAATATCCAATATGGAGTTGGTACTAAAACGTTCTTGCCTCAACCAAGGAAAAAAAAAATCATATGTTAAGTCAGTTTTTAAGAAGTGGGTCAGGCTGAAAATATTTCAACATCATGTATATGTAATATATATACGAGAGGCTGAGTATTAAAAGCTTACATGAACGTACAGTTTAATGAGCCAGAAAATGTTAACTGTAGTTGTCTGGAAAAAAGTTGTGAAGCATCTATTTTTTTTTAGGTCAGCAAATATCAGTTTATGGTGGCTAAAATAGTTGTATATTTCTCAGCTGTGGCCAGTGTTCAAGATCAGACAAAAGGCCAGGATTTCAGGATTGATAAGAGACTTTCTCTCATTTGAAAAATGTCATAACTTGATGTTCCTGTAGCTATTTTCTTTTACTCTAACTTGCCGCAGGAGCTCTCTGGCAACAAATTGTGTTCTTAAAAGTGAAGTTTTTGATTTTCAAAAACTTATTTTTTCTTTATTTACATTGGTTTCTGACTTTTCAGCATTTTGTCATTTTTTTTTTTTTTTTTTTTTTTAATCTTTGATAAAGTTCCTATAATTTTGGCAAATAAGTTTAGATTAGTTGTTAAAGATTAGTTAGAGCATAAAAATACTTGGAATGTCTTGCTAAATCCTTCCTGGTATCTCTGAGAGTAAGTGAGTACCTGATAGTGGCCATCTTCTCTTCAAGTAACAGGAGGCTAGTGAGTGGGTAGGTGGTTGGTTGGTGCTATACAGGATACGTTGTATGTATTCTCTCTTGGATACAAAGAAATGCTCAGCACCACCTATGTTTTAACTTTGTGATAGGCACAGCAGAAAGAATTTCTGAACTGATTGCACTCTTTTAGCTAAAAATTGTACAGAAACACAGAGAGAGGTGGGTTCATGCCTTTCATATCAAAATCCACTCATGTTTGCTAATTTTCTTGCTCTGATAACTGTTATGCCACCCAAGTTCTTATATGATGTGGGATTCTAAAAGAAATACAAAAGGACAGTCTTGTAATATAGTTGTTAGCACAAAGATTAACTGTGTTTAATGCAGGGTGAAGCAATAATACTGCTCACATAATGGCAGGAACAATAGTGGTACTGGTGTCTACATCTAACTTAGTGGGTCCCAAACTTTTTTCTTCTTCTTCTCAGGGCTGCATTTTCAGAATGAAAATTTGCTTGTGTTAAATATAACATGTAACACAAATAACTTACAATCTAATTAAAGTACAAAAATCTAAGGAAAGGTATGAGCTTGTTTATGATGAGTAATCTCTTTTATATTAAGCCTAATTTGAGAGAAACCAACTCATCTCCTCATCAGCACAAAGGAGCCTTTCCTTTTTTTGGTTTTTGATATTTGTCAGAACTGAAAAGGTACAAGCAGCCCTATGACAAAGAAGAGAGAGAGACAGGGGGTTTAAAGGGAGATAACCGCGGATTCAAAGTCAGAACATTATCATTGATAACTCTCTCCTTCAATTTGCAGACCCTAATTACTATATTCTTCATACTTGACATAATGCAAAAATATCACAATGATAAAATCAGTCAATAATTATTTAACTATTTATACTTTGACTCATGCATGTAATTACAAGTAATCCATAATAATATTTTAAATTTTGAAATCATTTATTTTTGCCATATGAATTTTTTGAAACTGCTTCAAAATCTTTGATTGTCTTTCAATCATTCTGCCTCACCTGCTATCCACTTCAACTGCACCTATAAGGCATGCTACACCATTTGGGAACCACTGATCTAGCTAATGTCTTACCATTATGTGGAAAGTATTTCTACTGCACCCTGTATAAACTGACTCCTGCAAAATGTTAATGTATCAAACTGTTCTTCTGGCTTCATAGTCATTATCCTTGACTTATTCCCAGTGTTGGTCTGTATAAATGCACATATCATAGCTTCCTGTTTAATGTTCTTGAAAACCAAGTGTTATAAATTGAAAGACTGGCTGTGCAAACTACAGCTGAAATCTCAACTTTTATTTTTATGTGAAGGTCTTTTGAAAGCCCTAAATTTAATTACCCGTGTTGTCACTAATATTTTTTTTTTTTTTTTAATAATGTTATGATTTTAAAATTGGATGAAAGGGTAGGTTCAGATGCAGCAACTCTTATCATTGAATGCATATAAAAATATATTTCTATTACTGTTTAACATGTTAATTCTCTCTCTATAAAATGTTACATTTCCTAATAATAATGATTTTGTCATTCATCACTGATTGTTTATATCCAATCATTCATTTGTTATATTTTAAACCTGTACAATTTTTTTCTTTTTCATATGATTTAAATAATTTGAGATTTAAATCCTTACTTCAAAAAAGGCAAAAAAAAAATGTAAGTTATTGATTATGTTTATTGAGATGTCTGTTTGCTTTGTCTTTTCAGTTGCACCCTCAAAAGGCCATGAGATTTTGAGCCGTAAAGTTGAAAATGACATTGTAGAGTTCTGGTACTACATGAGGTTTTCTCTGAAAAGCATAAGGGACCTGGCTGTTGGCAATACGATGCTCATCAACAGGGTTGACGAGGTCCTCAGTGATGGTTTAGACTATAAAAG